AGTTCACTGTTTAAGTCTTTGTTTTCCGGAACTTAATCTCACCTAAAAGTTCTCTAGTCATTACCAGTTATCTTAATACCTTATTGATCTCCTGTCCTCAGGTATGCCTTGCCCAGTTTAGTGTATCTGATTGGACTTAATCTCCAGTTTGCCTCTGGAGCCCCTTCCCACCTTCCATGCTGGTTGAGTGACAGGCCCTTGCGTACTAGAGAAGCCAGTGGAATTTCCCTTCTACTCTGGTAATACCGTCCTGTCATCTGGCCCTTGTCCCTGAGGAAAAGCAGTTAGAGGCAGAGGCCAGGAATGCAGGAGATAATAAAGCATTCCCAAACTGAGTCCACTTCCTTCCAACAGCCCCTAAAGTATAGTTGGTTTATCTACATATTTTTTAAAGCAGTGTTGTTGTTGTTAGGTGTCATTGAGTCAGTTCCAACTCAGAGGAAACCCATAAACTACAGAACAAAACACTGCCCAGCCTTACAGTTGTTATGCTTGAACCCTTTGCCTTTGCCACTGTGCCAGTCCATCTCATTGGGATCTTCCTCTTTTTTGCTGACCCTCCACTTTATCAAGCATGATGTCCTTCTGCAGCAACTGGTCCCTCCTGACTACATATCCAAAATGTACCCTCCAAAAAAACCAAGCCCACTGCCACTGAGTCAATTCTGACTTATAGGGACTATAATTCTTTACAGTCTCATCTGTCTCTCAGAGCTGCTAGCCAGTTGAAACCACCTGCAATATGCAGATGATAACAACCTTGCTTGCTGGAAGTGAAGAGGACTTAAAATACTTACTGATGAAGATCAAAGGCCTTCAATATGGGTTGTACCTCAATGTAAAGAAAACAAAAGTCTTCACCACTAGACCAATAAATAACATTATGATAAGTGAAGAAAAGATTGAAGTTGTCAAAAACTTTATTTTGCTTGGATCCACCATTAACATTCATGGAAGCAGTGGTCAAGAAATCAAATGTATTGCATGAGGCAAATCTACTGTACAAGAACTCTAAAGTGTTCAGAAACAAAGACCTTAGTTTGAGGACTAGAGTGTGCCTGACCTGAGCCATGGTATTTTCAATAGCCTCATATGCATGTGAAAATTGGACAGTGAATGAGGAAGACTAGAAGAATTGATTGATGCATTTGAATTATGGTGTTGGAGAAGATCATTAAAGGTACTATGGATTGCCAGAAAAACTAACAAATGTTGCAAGAAGTGGGCTCAAGTATAGCAGTGATTGTAAGGATGGCTCACACCCGGTGGTGTTTCATTCTGTTGCACATAGGGTCACTATGGGTTTGAACCTTCTCAATGGCACCTAACAACCACAACCTTGCAGTTACCAGTTCAACACTTAACTCACAGCACTACCAGAGCTTGCTCTCTCTTTTTTAAATAGTGGTTGAGAAACTATGATGATCCATAGTATGGATTTCTTTACAGTGTTTAAACAGGATGAAGTAACATTCTATAGAAAACCCACTACCATCAGGTTGAGTCCTTTGTGGCCCTGAAGAATGAACACTGGACTACTAACTGCAAGGTCAGTGATACAGACCCGTCAGCTGCTCCTTGGAACCCTATATAGGGTCGCTGTGATTCAGAACCAACTTGACTGCACTTAACCACAACTGTCAACTTGATTCCAACTCTTAGTGACCCTGTAGAACAGAGTAGACCTGCCATCTCTTCCCCCCTGGGAGCAGCAGCTGGTGAGATGAAACCTCTGACCTTTCCACAGCAGCCAAGAACTTTAGCCACTGCATCACCAGGGTTTCTTCCCTCTCTATATGAGAGTAAGTCAAAAAGTATTGCTACAAATCTTAGAACCCTTTCTTAATAAAATAAAAATGTGAAGGTATCATTTCTCGACATACTCTCCTTCTGGGTCTACACACTTCTGAAGACAGTGCTTCCAGCCCTAACCCTTCCCCAAAGAATGCTGTGCTCTCTGCACCATATCAGAATGGCAGTTTGGGCATCCTTAAGGGACTCAAATTGTGTACCTTGAAATGTTCCTTGAGTTTCAGGACCAAAAAGAAATTTGAAGGGGCAAGATCAGTTCTGTAGGGTAGATACAGTAGTTTCCCAACAATCATGGTAGGAAAAAAATCCCTCAAAACTTCTTTCCTGATCTTTTTCTCACCAATGCAGTTTTCAGTTTTCTTAAAATTTCTACCTAATAAGCCCCCATGGTTGTCTTTTGTCCTTCAAGAAAATCTGTCAAGATCACTCGGAATCCCTCTGCTTTGAATTTAAATGGTCCAACGCTATTCTTTTGATTGGAGCGTCTTTTTTTGAAGCCACTCCAATGAGACTTGCTGTTGTGAAGTGCCATTGAATCAGTTCCAACCCATAGCAACCCTGTATAGGGTTTCCCAGGAGCGACTGGTAAGCTTGAACCTCCGACCTTATGGTTTAAAGCGACTTTTCCATCAGGCACATTAACCCACAGTACCACAACAGGACTCCCTAATGAGACTAAAATGGTACCTTACTGAGAGAATTTCCCTGAAGCCATCCATTGATCACAGGAATGTTTAAACAAGCATTTTGTTTGAAATAAATCTGTGCATGTATGAACTAGAACCCTAATAGCAATACTTTTTTACTTATCCTCTCATACTGATAGGTAAAAAATGCAAATCATAAAAACAGTATGGCATCATCCTAATTGGGTTAAAAAAACCTAATTTGTCAATGCGGTATCAAAGGTGCAACATGAGGCTTTTAGCAGGTTATCTATCTCTGGGAAAGGAAGTGGCTGTAGTAGGTAAAGAAAAACAATAGCTTTTGTTTTCTCAAGTCAAGTGCTGTAGGCTTGTGCAGCATTTGTTTTCAAAATTTAAGTGCCTTTTTTTTTTTTTTTTTCATTAACTGATAAACATTTTAACTTTACAATTAACAGGTAAACACTAGCGGTGTATCAATTGGGCTACTGCCCAATGTCAAAACTGTCAGAAAACCTTGGGTTTTTATTTCCTCTCATCCCAACTTCCTTTGAGAAGGGCATGAGTTTAACTTCTTAATGTTTTTGGTTTTTCTCAGAAACCAGCATATTTTATAAAATCAATAGAAATATATACTAAGGACCCTTAAAAAGAGTTCTTTCTGATTTTTGTCTTCTCTGTCCTTTGAACATTGAAATCTCTTAGTTATCTGCCCTCAGGAAGAAGCAGTATCCGGCCTCTACTTTGATGGGAATTCCATTACTACAACTCTTCACAGGTTACAAGATGTGGTCTTTTAAAAAGCTATTTCCAGCTGAGTCCTTGCAACTCTTACTTATATTTGAGTCACATCCTTTGAAAATACAACCTCCAAATTTTGAAGACAGCCTGACTGACTGGGGGGTACCCAAGAATATCTAGGGTGTTACTGGACTCTGCCATTGCTGTCTTGGTTGTCTCTGGCAGGAGATGATGTTTGTGGTTTCCTCTCTGCTCTCTTTTCCCTCTTCTGTCCTTTATCCTCTCACCTCCTGGGCTCTTACAAGTCATCCCTTTCCCTCGCCCCACATAGATTAGGTTAGAAAGTATATATGTAAAGTCTGTCTTTATCTGTCTTGTTTTCTTTTTTTTGTCCTATGAGCGGTAATTAAACTGGGTACATACTGAAAAGAATTTGCTACAATCTGTCCAGATTAATGAAAGTGATGTTTCACTTTCTGCTGGTTCCAGTGAATTGTAAATTTTGATTTTTATCTATTTCTGAGCCAATGCTCAGTATGTAAGAGATTAATTGTAAATAGTCAAATGTTGAGTAGGGACTGCCATTTCCATGTCTGCCTCCTGCTTCTAAATTTACTTTTCTTCTAGAACTTAACCAGATTTTGACGGTTTATGAAGAGCTGGTTCTATAATTAGTACCATATTTGATGATAAACATATTTTGTAAAATGAGAATGGCCATCCTCGAATTCCTAGAGGGCAGATTCTGTGCCTGGTTCATTTTTATTCTCCTGGCTAGGCCTAGGAAGTGGCAGGTGCTGGGCAACTAGGTGCTTACTCAGTATTTGCAAAGGTTGCATTCATATTCTAAACTTTGTAGCAGATGTGTCTTGCAAGGAAGTAGTCACTGTGAACATGTAACTTTGTAATATAAATTTGCCTTTCCCAAAACAGAGTCTTGTTCACATATAAAAAAACTTTGTAACCAGTTGTCTGATTTCTGTAAATTCTTGAGTCCCCAATTGCAAAATCTATGCAGTTTAGGTATGTTAAGTGGAACACTCTATTCTTTTTCATTTTCACAAGTCAAATGGATATGAAATGTGGGTACTATCACATTTGTACTATAACTTTTAAACAACAAACATCTGTAATTAGATATTTTATTTGAAACCTACTACATGTTCTTATATTTTAAAAGAGATTATTTATTTGTGTGGTGCTGTGACTGCAAAGTTACCTTGAATTAACTGCAAGGTCGGTGGTTCAAGCTCACCAGCTGCTCCTCGGAAACCCTATACAGGGTCGCTATGGGTCGGAATCGACTTGACAGCACTTAACAACACAACAACATTCACAAAAGGAGACCTTGGGAAAAAAGGTCTTCTAATGTATTTCTGTATAGATAGGAAGAGCTACATATACAGTTTTTATAAAAGTAATTGTAACTCCTATGGTTCTTAACAAGGTTATGGTCTGGCTCTCAACTTTATAAAATATGATGATAAAAAGCAATTGCTAATTGATTATTATTCTGTTATTCAAAGATAACCTCTTTGTGTTGTTGTTGTTAAGGGCTCTCGAGTCAATTCCAACCCATAGTGACCCTATGGTTCAAATGGCTTTGCAGTCTGGCACATTAACTCACAGCGCTATACCAGAACTCCTTACTTCTTTGTGTTAGAAGCCTATAAAAATAACCAAAGACAACTTTTCATTATAATCTTAATATCCATAAAATCAGACTAGGAAATTATGAGAAACTGAATGGCCAAGAATCTTCAATTAATTAATTTTCCTCCTCTTTTCTTCATTTTTTTTTAGAACTGCCACTGGATGACCAGTATCCCCTGTAGTTGATAATGTTGGATACCAACTGTGCCACTTTCTTTGGTGTGCAGTTGTTACAAACAAATAGGATGAAAGTTCTTCAACTCCAGATTATCAAAATGGTACTTGGAAAACTGAAAACTATCTAAATGATTGTCTTTGGTTGGGCCGTGTTCTTAGCGAGCAGAAGCCTTGGCCAGGGTCTCCTGTGGACTCTTGGAGAGCACATAGCCCACTTCCTGGGGACGAGAGGCACCACGACCATGGGCAACTCTTGTATCTGCCGAGATGACAGTGGGGCAGACGACAGTGTTGACACCCAGCAGCAACAGTCTGAGAGCAATGTAGTGCCTGCTGCTGACACGAGGAGCCACCCCCGGGACCCTGTTCGGCCACCAAGGAGGGGTCGAGGACCACATGAGCCGAGGAGAAAGAAACAAAATGTAGATGGGCTGGTGCTAGACACACTGGCAGTAATACGGACTCTTGTAGATAAGTAAGTATCTGAGTAACCATCAGCTCCTATAGAAGGAAAGCGTCCTGCCAGGGACCGTGACTCTTGGACTCCTTTAATTCATGAGGATAGGTTTGCCATGCCTTTTATTCCTTCTGTGATGACAGAGCAAGTTACAGGTTTTCTGTTTTTACCTGCTAACATCCACTCCTCTATGGAAATGTCTAAACATTTCTGTAGCAGAAAATACTAATTAAAGCTAAAATCTTTGTTAGAGGATATGGTGAAAAACAAACAAAGCAAACAAAACTGGGCTGAGATTGTATTGTTGGCTAGCTACCCGGGAAATGGCGGTATGAAGACTCACTGTCATTGTGCTTGCATATTACTCCATTGAGCAGACATTCAAGATTGAATCGTTTAGTAAGAGTCGGGTGCACACAGCTTCTGTTGGCTACCTAAAGACACAGAACAAGGAGAGTTTCCATCACCCTCCTTTCTTTCTGGTGTCGCATCAGCACTGGACTGCGAACTACAAGGTCGGCAGTTGAAGCCCACCAGCTGCTCCTTGGAAACCCTATACTGGGTCGCTATGAGTTAGAACTGACTCGACGGCACTTAACAACAACAATAACCTTTCTCCCTATCCCTGGCCAGGCTCATTTACGTCGTTTGGAAAGCTTGTAAGTTGAGTCTTGAGGGAACACACCTGTACCTGTTTTGCTTTCCCTGCCTTGTCTAGCGCTTAAGTGCAAAATCCCAGCTTAAATAGCAGTGAAATTAAAGGGCATTGTTCAGGTTGGAAACCATAATGATGATAATTTAAGGTTATGTAGTTTAGTCGTTAGCAGCACAAGTTTTAAAACCATGATGGCCCTGCCCTTTACTGGCTACATGGCATTGGGCCAGTTACTTTTCTGAGCCTCAGATTCCTCATCTATAAAGTGAAATACTTGTCTTACATGGTTTGTCATGAGAGTAATGTATATAAAGCATTAGGACAATGCCTTACACATAACAGTCCTCTTCCAATTAATTAATATTCAGTTAACTAATTTTATTAATTGGAGCACCTTGAAAATGTTCTCATAACACACAGCAATTACAAACAACATTTACTCAGTTGTTGTTGGTAAGTGCCATCGAGTTGGTTCCAACCCATAGCGGCCCTATATAGGGTTTCTGAGGAGCAGCTGGGGAGCTTGAACCACCGACCTCACAGTTCAAACAGTCTTGCAGTCTGGTGCATTAACTCACAGCGCCACACCAGAACTCCGTTGTTGTTGTTGTTGTTAAGTGCCGTGGAGTCAATTCCAGCCCATAGCGACACTGTATAGGGTTTCCAAGGAGCAGCTGGTGAGCTTGAACCATCGACTTTGTAGTTCAAATGACTTTGCAATCTGGCGCATTAGCCCATAGCACCACACCAGGACTCCATTTATGTTGTTGTTATGTGCCATGGAGTCGGTTCCGACTCATAGTGACCCTGCACAGGGTTTCCGAGGATGCAGATCTTTATGGGAGCAGAAAGCCTCACCTATCTCCTGTGGAACAGCTGGTAGTTTCGAACTGCAGACCTTGCGGTTCATAGCCCGATTCATAACCACTGCGCTATCAGGACTCCATTATATGGTATTAAATAAGAAAGCCACTGCCATCGAATTGACTCTGACTCACAGTGACCCTGTTGGATAGAGTAGAACTGCTCCTTAGGAGTTCTGAGACTAAATCTTTTATAGGAGCAGACAGCCTCATCTTTCTCCCAAGGAGTGGCTGGTGGGTTTGAACAGCCAGGCTTGTGGTTGGCAACCCAGCACTTAGCCCACTGCACATCCAGGACTCCTTCAATAGCTGGTAAACCTACTGCATCTAGTCAATTCTGACTCATAATAACCCTATGTAGGGTTTTCAAGGCTGTAAATATTCACGGGAGCAGAGAGCCTCTTCTTCCACTCGCTGAGCAGCTAGTAGATTCGAATGGCTGATCTTGCTGTTATAACGTAGCCCATCATGGGCTCCTTTCAATAGATGGTAGTAACTTTACAAAATGTGTTTCCGGATTCTTTTTACTTCAGACCCTGCTAGTGAATTTAAGTATATATATAAAATACCTGAAAATCACATTTATGAAAATAAGTTTTGTTCAGTTGCTCAAAATTTATAGCATAAAGCAAGGTACACCTGTACACACATATTTGGTGTCTTTTTATCCCTTATCATTACTCAAAGAAATGAACTTGTCTTGCGTATATGCTGTGGAACATGCTTGGAATAGGTGGTTCCTTTACCTAGTCTCCATAACCAGTTCAGGAAGGCCTTTCTAAGTTTATTAAAATCTGCCTTTGAAGATGTTCTGGTATTCAAATTCTTTAAATTTAATGTGGAGTCGCTATAAGTCAGAATTGACTCAATCGCAGTGGGTTTGGTTTTACTGGGTATGTCATTAATATCCTCCAAACACAAGCAAGGGGCTAGAAACTAAACTGTTACATACTGAGTCTTAATGTAAGTATTTTTTTAAAAAAAGCAAACCATGTGGGCTATATTATACTCCACCATAAATACTGGATATTTTATTGGTCTTCAAGGAGAGTGATATTAAAACACACACACTATTTCCCATACTGCAAAATGATAATAAAATGTCCTTCCCACATAAGGAAGCAATACAGCAATATTCATTTGAGCCCATTGGAAAAACAGGTGCAGAGAAGACTTTGTTAGATTTCAAAAGAGAGTGATTAAGGAAGTGGAGGCAAGGTAGGAGCTTTATTTCCAGGCCTCTGTAAAGTACTACAAATTATAAAGTGAACTGATTGATAAAGCACATGGTTGACTTATGTGGTGTACATTTGAATAATAACAAGGTCACTTTTCCTTAAACCAGTTTTCACTAGAGATGTAACTCTTCTGAAAATAAAAAATAAAGCAGATGTGGAGCAAATGGGGAAAGGACATGTTAGAAAAGATAATGACAAAACAGACTTTAGAGATTTATAAACATGGAAATATAACTTGTTATTTAGAAGCTATTGAAGGAAAAGAATCTTATGAGTAGTAAATTTCATAAGGCTGTTAAAACCAAGTCTTCAAAATTGTTAGGGTAGAGGACATAGTAAGAATTATACCTATAAATGATTTGCAGATAAATGTGGTTATGGAATGATCTGTACTTACTGTCTTCTCTCTACTTGTTTACTTAAAAAGGGAGACATTGATTTGAGAAACGAGCAGTTTCTAATCCCATAGTGAGAGCAGGTGCTGTAGAAAAGAATTGTGTGCTGTTGATTTCTAATTTTCCATAATTTGTTTTGAAATAAATTACCTATTTACTGCATGCCTTTATATCGTGCATTCTTATTTATCCATCTACGCAAAGTTTTTTGTTCTGTTGTTGTCTATTTTTAATCATGTGTAAATTTTAATCAGTTGTGTAAATTTCTTAGCCATAAATGATATCTTTGAATATTGTTTTGCTGTGTTCTGAGTGAATTTCCCAGAACTCTCTTCCAATTCGTTCATGTTTCTCTTTAACTATGGCCCATCTGGAATTATACCATCTATTGAGGTTTTAATTCTTTCTCTTTTGACTCATATGTGTCTTTTAGTTTCTTAATTTCATATACTTCTTATTGTATTTTTTTATCTCTAGTATACAGAATCTTTTGTATAAAGTTAAGCCTCATTATTTATAGATCATATATTTGCAAATTCACGTACTTGCTAAAATTTATAACCCCAAAGTCAATAGTCACAGTGCTTTTACAGTCATTCAGATGTTTGCAGACAGTGAAAGTTATAAGTCATTCAACATAAACATTAAGGAGACCTAGTGGCACTGTGGGATAAGCATTGGACTGCTGACTGCAAGATCAGAGGTTGAAACCTACCAGCTTGCTCCATGGGAGAAAGATGAGGCTGTCTGCTTCCATAAATAAACATCTGTAGTCTCAGAAATTTTATAAATTAGTTGTAGGTTAATGTTCTGGACTGCAAAGTCGGTTTGAACTGCAAGGTCAGAAGTTAAAGCTCATCAGCCGTTCCTCGGAAACCCTATACAGGGTCACTATGGGTCAGAACCAACTCTATGACACTTAACAACAACAACGTGGCTTATAATCAATTCAATGGCAATCGATGGGCAGTAGGACTTGGTTTTGGTAACATACACATTCCCAGCTGAGATTGCGCAAAGTGATGCTCTCTGCCTTGCTTCCTTCCGTTCTTGGACAGTGAACAATGGTCTTTTCACAGTCGACTTACTGTCTCACTTGTTGAATTTTTGTGCCTTTTGTTGATGATTTCTCTGCTTAAAATGGCCCCTAAGCATCATGCTGTAGGTTAAGCACTGAACTTATCCTTAACTACAAGGTTAGTAATTTAGACCTACCACGTTTCTCAGAAACCCTATAGGGTCACTATGAGTCAGAATCAACTTGACAGCGCTTAGTAACAACAAGCATCCTACCAGAGTGTTGTCTAGTGTTAGGTGCAAGAAGGCTGTCATGTGCCTTACGGAGAAAGTATGTACGTCACATAGACTTCCTTTAAGGCACGAATTATAATGCTTTTAGCAGTGAATTCAGTGTTAACAAATCAATACATATTAAATGGTTTGGTGGTGGTGGTTTATGTGCCATGGAGTCAGTTCCAACTCATTGCGACCCTGCATAGGGTTTCTGAAGCTGTAAATCATTACGAGAGCAGAAAGCCTCAACTTTCTCCCATGGAACAGCTGGTAGCAACACCACTATATAGAACACAGCTACCATAAATGTTTACGATCCACTGTACATCTTTAAAATCACTAAGTAGCTATATCATGTGCAGGGTTTTGGTAGGGATTATATCCTCAGACTTTTCTTTGGAACTTTAATTTCCAGATTCCTGTTGATGGAAGTTTTTTCTCTCACTTAGACATATGCTCAAATTATTGCTCTCTGCCTTCTTCTTTCACACTCACTTTCGTCTCCCACCTTATGCACATCTCTTCTTATCTGTCACTTTTTTTGTTGTGTCCACCTGGTTCCCAGAGAGCCTCAGTCTGTGACCTGAACCTGAAGCTGATGGCTTTGGGTTCCCATCTCTGTGAGAAGCTCAAGTCCTACTGCATGGTTTTCTCTGCCTTTTTTTGTCACCCCAGACTTAACAGTTTATACCAGATCACAAACTGTAACTGCTGTATAATTTACAGTTTGATACCAGTTGTGACTCAGACTATCATTCTGAATATTTTCCTGCTCCTTTTACTGCTTGGGGAAAAGCCTGTCCAGCTTCACTTTTGACTCCTGGCCTGTCTCAAATGGTTTAATCCCCACTACCTTTAGGACATAGAACTCCCAGTTACCTCTGCCCATTCCCTGTCCCAAAGCCCAGTAGTTCTCTACAACTTTAGCTCCTGCCTTCCGCCAGAAACTCTTCCTTCATCTTTCTGTTCCACAGGTGAATTAATTTTTTGTTTGCGTATAGGTGTGTGTGTGTTCTTTAAGAACCTTTACATAGAATGCAGATTCTCCCATTTCTTATCGGTTGGTCGGACTTTGTCATATGGTATTATTTTTCCCTTTTTCTTCAATCCTATTCTGTTGACTACCTACTTCCAAATATCAGTAGGTAACCATTGTAGTGAATTTAAGGTTTGTTCTTCCAGTCTGCCTGCCATGTTTGTTTATACCTGGATAAGAAAAATAAGGACTCGTATGATGCTGTAGGTTCAGCACTGGGCTTCAAACCACAAGGTTGGCACTTCAAACCCACCACCTGCTCCTCAGAAACCCTATACAGGGTCACTATGGGTTAAAACCGACTCAATGGCCCTTAACAACACAACAGGAAGAATATATATAGTGTTTTGTGTGTGGTTTTGAAATTTTGCATAACTGATACAGTTATATATATATTTATGTATCTGTTTTGTGTTAGACTTCTCTCAGCATTATTTTTGACATGTGTATTATTGTGTATAAATTGGCAGCACTGCTTCTAGTGCTATAAGTGAATATACTGTATTTTAATACGTTTTCCTTTCATCTGTGATGGTCATTTAGGTAACAGCCAAAATTTTGTTCCTACAAATGACACTGTAGTGAACAGCATTATATATGTTTCTTTATGGACTTATGGGAAAGTTTCTCTGACATCAGTGGGTTTGTAGTTGTTGTTAAGTACCATCAAGTCAGTTCCAACTCTTAGCGACCCTGTATAGGGTTTCTAAAGAGTGGTTGATGAGTTTGAACCACCAACCTTGCAGGTCAAACCAACCTTGCAGTCCAGTGCATTAACACACCAGGACTCCTCAGTGAGTATGCACATACTTTAATTTTTCTATTCTTCATAATTAATGCCATTTTCTGTAGTGTTGTGAATCAGAATTGACTCAATGATGGTGGGCTTTGGGGATTTAAATACCATTTTAAAGCAGTGTCTAGAATATTCACTAGTTCCCCAGTTAGGTTTGGTTACATTGCTCTCTCACCCTCTTAATGAATTTTCAGCATGTCAGAATATTTTCCTGAAGAGTATTTAAAACTGAGAGTGTTTATGTAGACCCTTGCTTCCGTGTATCCTCAGTTAGGATTCTCTCTCTTCCTGGCATTTTTGTAGCGGAAATAAGAGGAAGATGCTGCTGACTCTCCTGTACTGTCGTATCTGGTAAAGCAGATGTAGGCGTACTCTCCAGTGTTAGCTGTGTACTTTGTCCTCAGGCCATATGCTGGTCTTTCCATGCTACCCACTAGCCTCTAGTGTATGGGCTGCCACAGACGGGCGCATTGGTGTGCATTTGCCCTTAATGGTGGTGGTTCTCCTTTGTCTCTTCCATCTCTTCCCCTAAATTCATTCATGTTCATTTCTACCCCCGCACTTCCAGTTAAGAATTTTATTTGGAATTTCCATTTATTATTTCCTCAAGTTTGATGCCTTGAATGTTTGTTTTCCAGTGATCAGGAACCTCCCTACTCAATGATTACATTGCACGAAATGGCAGAAACAGGTATTTTAAAAGTTTTAATACTTCCTTATGGATTCAGTGATTATAAAGAAATGCTGCCTCTTTTTCTTTTTCAGATAAAACATTTAACTCTTGAGAATTATGGTATTACTAGTTTCATACTTTGAAGTAGATGGTTTAGGCTAGAATATGTTCTTTTTAAATGGCTTTCTTGCCATCTTTCTCCCCATATGTTCTGCCCTTGAGTGTTCCTGGGAACCTAATTGGACTTTGAGGTCTTGGTGACCTTTCAGTCTCTCATTTTAAGTGAGACAGTTCAGACTAAGAGTTGTTTTTTTTTTCATCCAGGGGAACCACCTTTGTGTAGAGTTTATTCATGGAGCACCCTTTTTCATAGGCCCTTAACCTTGTAATTCCCAAAATGACTCAAAAGATGCCAGATGCATAGCACCCACAACCAAGAAAGAAGCTCTGGGTGTATGCAACTGTCCCTGTACAGGTGTAATACACATTGTATATTGCATACTAAATAGGCGAGAGGGTTTCACAAAGTTTGTGGGACAATGGAATGAAAAGATAATGGAATTTTTCCATGAACTTTTGGAAGCTTCTTCATATAGCTATGGCTCTCAGTGGTGTTTTTCTTTTACTAGAAATTATAAAAATGTTATTTTAACTTTTGGAATTGGCAAATCTTTGATCATAACTGTTCTAGAATAAGGGGGTTAAGTTTTTGTCCCTCAGTTCCCTAAACATCATTCTGCAGAGAGCCAACTGCTTTGTATATTCTTATGTAGTAAATAAGATGCTTAAAACTAGTTATAATTTGAGAACGAAGACCATAGCTTGAACTTTCTCGAGATAAAAATCACAAGAATCACCAGACTCCTGTAAATTAGGATTCATTGAGTCTACCATTTGTTGTTGTTGTTGTTGTTAAGTGCCGTGAGTCTACCATAATGAGTAGCAATTAGTGCTTCTGACCATGACAAATAATCGCTGCCAAAGAGCTACAGCAGGAGTCCTGGTTGCACGGAGGTTATGCACTCAGCTGCTAACCAAAAGGTGGGCAGTTCAAACCCACCAGCCACTCATGGGAGAGAGATGTAAATTTTGTAACAATTTACAGCCTTGGATACACCATGGAGCAGTGCTGCTTTGCCCTGTTGGGCCACCATGATTCCAAATGGACTCAATGGCAGTGAGTTGGTTTGAGGTTTTAATAGCTGCAGGGTGAAGGCCAAAAGCATTTGTATTCTAATGGCACATCATTTTTGCATGACTTTATACATTTTTGTAGACTTCAACTTATTTTTTTTTAAATAGTGGCTCTATCATATAATCTTCTTGATTTGCTTGTAGATGAAGGATGGTTGGATGTTGTGCAGTCTTTAATTAGAGTTATTCCATTGGAAGATCCATTGGGACCAGCTGTTATTACATTGTTACTAGATGAATGTCCATTGCCCACTAAAGTAAGTTACTACTGATCTTGTATGAAATTGTCATTTATGCTTAAGCCCAGGATGAATGGCCACAAACAAAATTTGATGTAATGCATTGTTATGCATTTGGAGTCTGCTTCATTCTGTATTGATTTTATTTTATAGATTTGGGTTTTATTACTAATAAAGTACTATATGCTTTTTCAATAAATTGCTACTATAAAGCTTTAGTTTGTTCTTTGTTGTTAAGTGCCATCAGGTCAATTCCAACTCAGCAACCCTGTATAGGGTTTCCAAGGAGCAACTAATCGATTTGAACCACCGACTTTACGGTTCAAGCTGACCTTGAGGTCCAGGGTTTATCTTACACCACCAAAGAAATATTAAAAAAATGAAAGTATGTATATGTGAAAAGCCACCTTTGTTCAGAAGCTAGAAGAGAATATTCAACTTCTGAGTTGATTTTTTTTATCTTTCTCTAAGCAATTTGCTCACAATAAAAGTTCTTTAAACTTTTTCTATTCAGAAGAAAAACTATATTTAATGTATTTTTAAGTCATATTCAATTGTATTAAAGATTAATTTAGCCCATATGTTATACTGAATCCTTTTTTATTTTTATAATTTGGATTCTGGCATCTTTCATTTGCCTGGTAAAGCCTCAAATATTTGGGGCCAGCATGGGACCTAGTCATTGATGAGTTGACTTTTGCCTTGGCTAATAAGTTTCTGCTTTAATTTTCTCCTAAAACTCTAGTAGGATTTCTTTGCTTGGTTAAATTTTTTTAGAAAGTAACTTGATTTCAATGTGGCAGTGTAGGATAAGCACTGGACCACATGGTCAGTTTGAACCACAAGAACCCTGGCTCAAACTTACCAGCCACTCCTCAGGACCTCTGTACAGGGTCACTATGAGTCAGAACGGGCTCAGTGGCACTTAACAGCAACACAAGGTGCAAACGTAAGAACATTTGTGAGGCTGGCACAGGACCAGGCAGTATTTTGTTCTATTGTGTGTAGTAGAAGCGAGTGGACAGCATCTAACAAAAACAGCAGGTCCTAATATTGTTAGTCATATTACATTGGCATTTGGGTACAGTTAGTTTGTTGAATGGTTTAATAATAGTACGTGTATTTGATAGAACTTGTACTTGGTACTTTTGTTCCCCTCTAAATTCTCTTTGTTTGTTGTTGAGACTACACATAACAAAACATGCACCAATTCAAAAGTTTCTAGAGGTACACTTTAGTGACTTTGAAAACATTCTTCAAGCTCTGCAGCCCTCTTTACCCTCCTTCGGTGAGCTGTTCTTCCCTCATCAAAATAAACTTGCTACCACCCTGAGGTTTCTATCTAATCTTTCAAGTTGCTGTTGTCAATTTGATCCCATTTAGATAGTTACAGCATAGTGGTTACGAATCAGGCTGCGAACCGTAAGGTCAGCAGTTCGAAACTACCAGCCGTTCCGTGAGAGAAAGATGAGGCTTTCTGCTCCCGTAAAGATTTATAGCCTCAGAAACCCTGTTACAGGGTCACTATGAGTCGGAACCGACTCCACGGCACATAACAACAACAACAACAAGATAGTTATTAAAAGAGCATAATGCTCAAGGCAGGCCTTTCAAAAAAAAACAAAATCACAAAACTTTTTATGAGTTGAGTGGTTCACAAATAGATCATCAATTTTACAGTCGACCAATCATATACTTAGCTTCATTTCAATGATTGCATTCCTTTCATATACCATTGGTTAACAGTATTTATCTCTAGTCACTTTAACTCATGCATTCCCCCTGGGTCTCCCACTACCTCAAGACGATGGACCTTTTTGGTAGTTAAGCTAAACTGTTGTTTGGTTTTAAGACTGGGGAATATTTTTGGTTTGGAGTTTAAAGATGATCTCAGAGCAATCGTTACAGAGATTCAGCCACTCTCCATGGCTCCAGAAAGTCTGCAAATTCTGTTCTGTTTTCTGCCTTTTGATCATGATTCTTCTGTGGAATCTTTAATCAAAATGTTCAGTAATGGCAGGCTGGCAACATCCAGTTCTTCTGGTTTCATGGGCAAAGGAAGCCGTTGTTTTCCAGAGGTAATTAGGCACACATTCCAATTAGTCATACACTCCTATCCCTGACTCTCCTTATCCCTCTCTTGCTTCAGGTGAATAGAGACCAAGTTGTGCCTTGGAATGGCCTCTTTTTATTTTAAGACTCCAGGCACTACACAATGAACCAGCAGTACTAAACGTATTATTAGGCCAATTAATTAAGCTATCCTGTGAAACCATGGCTCTGAACCTCCAAACCAAGAAACCAAATCCCATGAGGTTATTTAGCTACTCTTTTCTTTTTTTTGTCATTGTTGTGTAACTGCTACATTGTTAAATGAAATAGAATCTATCAATTCATGTGAGATAACTTTCAGTTTAATCAAATATTTCCCATCAACAGTAATATATTTGGGCACACTGCTACTATTGATGTATAATTATTCTGAGTTTGTTTAACACATGGTTACAACTTTTGTCTCAAAGAATTATCTTAGAATAAACCTGAGTGTATATATATCAAATCCACTTGTATATTCTCATTTTCAGGATGCACTCCAGAAATTGACTGAAATTCTCAATTTAAATGGAGAAGTAGCTTGCCAGGACTCAGGCCATCCTGCCAAGCACAGGAATACATCTGCAGTCCTGGGCTGCTTAGCTGAAAAGCTAGCAGGTAATGTTGGAAAACCCCACAAGGAAGATTTTGTTTGGTATTAAGTGGAAGATTGTATTTCAGGTCTATAATCAAATCTACTATACTTGAAAGAAGTGTCTTAAAATGCAATTGAGAGTCAAAAACTAACTGGAAAAAAGAATTACTCAGGATCACAGAGGTGAATACAATATAATTTAGCTTTGTGACTGGGGAAATTTTTTTAAAAAAAGGTTTTATCTGTTTTAAAAAATTAAGAACAAAAGGAAGAAGTCAATGTAACAAATAAAGGTAGATACACTTTATAAAGTTTAGCTAAATAATGAAGGGATACAAAGTAGAAGAGGAAAAAGAACTTTAGAACAGGTCTTGAGAAGCAGATATTTAACAGGTTTATGAATATTCCCCAATTTAGGAAAGGTAAAGGAGCTCTGGTAGCTTAGTGGTTACAAATCAGGCTGCGAACCACAAGGTCAGTAGTTCGAAACTACCAGCTGTTCGCGGGAGAAAGATGAGGCGTTCTGCTCCTGTAAAGATTTCCATCCTCGGAAACCCTGTACAGGGTTGCTATGAGTCGGAACCAACTCCACGGCACATAACAACAACAATAACAACACTAATCTGCAAGTGAGAAGCTCGGGTAGTGATAGCATTTTTAGTGGAAGAAACAACAAATTCGCAGTCAGAAGACTTGGGTGGTGAGGGTTCTGACTCTGCCCTGTGTTGTTTTGCAAGTGACCTTTGCACTGGGCGCAGTAGCACTATTTCCTTTTCAGAGAGTGAGTGTGTCTGAAAGTACTTTGTAAAAAGTATGGTTCTAAGTGAACACTGAGTGGCTACTAATTTGCTACCCCTGCTAGAGAGTAAGATCCCCCAAGAACTGATTGAACCTCAGCATAGTGATCCTGCTTGGTCACCTTAGAGCAGGTGGTGGGCTGGCAACGTCTTG